GCAAACAAATAAGCAAACAAACAAGCAAACAAACAAACAAACAAACAAATACAAGAAAAAAGAAAGAAAGAGAAAACATCAAACAACACAACCAAACAACCCACCAGCCAACCAACCAACCAAGCAATCAATCAATGAACCAACCAAACAACCACACAAGCAAACAAAGGAACAACAGCAACAAAGAAACAAGGGAGCCAAGCACCAACCAACCACCGACAAACAAACACAAACAAACAAATCTCCGTTTGCCCAGGGGTGCCCAGACCGGCAATTCCAAGGGGGCTCAAGTACGCTTTGGGCCCGTACTGCGGGACCCACCCAACTCTTGTTTGGGGATTAAATGCGGTTGTGGGGGGTCAGGGAAGGGGATACCTGCGCCACTGACATGGACCCACCGCAATGGTTTTCTCACACCCCAGTCAGGTTCGTTCCCCTCTAGTGGGAGGGAGGGTAACGAGCTTTCGACACGAAGCTCCTTGCAAGCGCTGGTGTTCACATCGGTTCTTCCCGGCACGCTGACCAGGCTGCCGCAGCTTTGCCTGGCTACCCGGTGACCCTGGTGAACCATTCCTTGTGTCCCCCGAGCCCAAACAGAACGCGAAAAGAGGAGTGATGGAGTGATTTCGTGCGGATGGAACAAAGCTAAAGAAAGGGAAGACATGGACATGGCCCTGGAGTATTGATTTCATTTTTCTTGTGGCCACCAGGGCAAGGGAACCATTCGGGGCACCCCCTTCCATACATCTATCGGGATAGTCAATTCCGTTGTGACTCAGGGTGTGCTTTCCACTTTCAATATCTGTTGACCAAGTAACTTCGCGAAAAACAAGTAGCTAACTGCACGGAGCACTAAAACCTACAAATCGAACGCAATCCGCTCAGGCCTACGTTTCCCCACACCCCACACGACGGAATGACAGTGGAAACTATCATGTTGGCAGATCAGGGTGGTGCCGCCGCACAAAAATTACCAATGCAACATGAGCATTTCTGTTGCAATCACTTTGGCATGGCCCCTGGCCGTGTTTGTTTTGAGTGCCAGATCACTATGCTTCACAACATGACACAAAAGAAACCCTCTACCAATTCCGTTTACCCGCGCTCGCTGAGTTTTGCACAATTTGTGCATGACTGTTTTAGGACGATTTTGAACAAGGCGTTGAATAGACGCAGGGAAAAATCAAAGCATTAATTACCTTGATTTACCCGGCGACTGTTGGCTTCCCTTCGTGGAAACGAGCTACCCAAGTAGGCCAAACTCCTTGTCACTTGGCCCACGGGTGGATCTTAAGAGCTGCTAGAAGTAGATTACACTTCCCCCACTAGCACCTGTGGGAGGTATCTAAAAGATCAACTTCTCAAAGGGACCCCTGCCATGCTAGAGAGAGCTAAGGAATCCTGTGCCCGTGTCCCGGCCTGGAGCACACCATTGGCGCACCCTCGAACCTGTCAACTGAAAGCTGCAAGGATGTCTGGGGCCATGGTTTAAAAGAGCCACGGTCCAAAGGTTTTGCTGAGAAGAACACGTTGAAACTCCCCAGCCTTTGGGTTTCTTGAAGCAATAGCTGACTGCTCGTGCAGCCCAAATGAAATAGTTGCAAGAGCAAAATGGACATCAACCACAACAACGTATCAAGAACAAGCCAAGAACAGGGAAGGGAAGCAGAACAACAACGAATTCACCATACCTTGTGGTGGGCCCACTTACAATAGTTGAGTTATCTGCCGCACAGCCCTGAAGAATCAGCCTGGACCCTTGGGGTCTTTAGGTCCAGCCCAGATATCCGAGGTTCGCCTAAAGTTGGCGTTCGCTAGTAGGGCTCACCCCGGATTTTAGTAGAACCTGGCGCATCAAGAAGGCTGTCATCCTTTGAAAGGGGCACCCTTTGTTGATCAGCCGAATTCGTCATTCACTTGGCTCCCATTAAGCGGAAGGATCTTTCGTCAAGGTTTACGGGTTAAGTTGGTCAAACACAAGGGCAACCTGGCAAGGACACCGGAAGTGAGCGCAGGAAGAATGACACCTTCATCATGTGTGAGGTCCTACTGCCTTTGTGAGGTCACCCCTACCGGTTCAAATGGCAGTTTTTCATAGTTCAAGCTTTTCAAATTGTCCCACCACGGGGCAAAGGCCAGAAATACAAGATCGAAAGTTTCCAACGCTTGATGTTTGACAACTCAGGGTCGCGATGTCATTCAGGGATCACTGGATTTCCAATTTTCAAAGTCGCAATTAACAGATGGGTCCCCCCCCAAAAAAAGCTGCCACTGTGCCTGCAACAAGCACAACTTGAGGGTTTGACGGGGCCATGGGTACCAACCCCCCATGGAAAACCCCAAGCATGGATTGAAGATATAGGTGATTTCAAAAACCACGGCAATTCAACCTAGTTTCATTCGTGCTAGACCTGCACGCCGTTGCCCCGGATGCTTGGCCATAGAACCCAAAATAATTCCCTCTTACTTCTCCATTTTGTGGTTTGATGAGCATCACCTCAGTCCATGTAGTGGTTTAATGGGCATCACCTCAGCAATTGGAACTAGCAACCCTGCCAAACCGAGGAAACTTGCCGGAGTCCTGCCAACAATGGGAGATATACGCAGACATATTGAAAAACGGGAGACATAAGGGGAATTCTTGGCAACAGCGATGAACTAGAAGGACCCTTTGAGATCCTCTTAGAGGAACCTGTTCTAGCACCTCCAGTCAGCTTGCATGTTGGTGTCCAAGGTCGTACCACACGGCCAATGACGTGGGCTCCGACAATGAACAGTGATTGTGCGCGTGCCGAAAGGGAAGCTATCATGACAACACACCCACCTCAAGTTTTCCCCCCCCCCCCCATCACACCTGGTTGATGCTGGTCCAAATTTAGGTGAAATTCAAAATGTTAATGTCGTTTGAAAAGAGATCCCAAATGTGCCAGAAGCAGGCCTTGCGGTGAAGGGGTTGCAAATGTAATCTTCTGCCGTGCCGAAGAAGTTCGTAGCGCAGCGCACCACACAGCGCTGGCCGCTCACCACCTGACGCAGTCGGGAGCGGCTTCCAGAATTTAGGGGGGGGCGTTTGAGATTCGCCAAGGTTTCTTCGGAACCTTAGATGAAGAAGTCACAAGTGACATCAAATACACAAGTGGGTTGGGTTGGAAATCAGGGTTGGATAACCTTATCTCTCTTCTCGCAGCCCTGTCTTCCGCAAAGTTGGGCAACTCAAAGAAGGAGTTTAGGAAGACCACCAAGGGTTAACAACCCGTTGCTTGATTAGTAGGGGGTGTCCCTTATTCATGGGGATGGGTTGCTTTTGGGAAACCACCGCCCAACACCCTCCCAACAATGATCCAAGTGCGCAAGCTCCTGCTCCAAGCAAAAAGTAGTCTTCCCAAAGGTGGGTATGGGTCAAAATAAAGCCAACAGGGGACCACAGGTTTTAGTCTATGTTTCCATCTGCCGGGGTTCCATTTTGGGGTTACCCTATTTTTAACCCACAGCCAGGTGCACTTCCATGTTTGCTGAAGAATCGCCAAGCCTAAGCCTTTCAATTCAAATCGAGGAATAGCTAGCGAGGGTGGGCTGACTGGCACCGGCTTTTGGGCGTTTCGGTGTACATGGCGAGCCGAAAAAGTGCACTCACACCCTCTGGACCAATCCCGTCCGCCAAATGCTAGCCACCTCCAGCGGGGCAAGCAGATTGTGCAAAGGTTGAGATACTAAACGAAGCCCCTGGTCTGGGCACTGCCTCGCAACAGAATCCAGCCAACCTTCTGTGCACAAATTCTGGAGAAAGGCTCGTGCCAAGCCTGGTGAAGCCGGACAAAACAAGCATTTGGTAGAGGTTGACCATTCCGAACGGTCAAGAAACCCACCAAACAAAAAACAATTTAGATGGTGCCACCGAGCACCTAAGATGCCGGTCTCACTTGCACAAAGGATCCAGAACTAAAAGGTTCCTTTTGGATCCCTGCGAAACTAAAAGATCGAAAGCTCCGGCTCTGGGCAAGGTGGGTATCTTCAGCATGGAAGCTGTCGCCACCGCGCCTGCCCGGCGCAGTCGCTGACATCCACACCAACCTCTGTGGGCAGACCGTCCGTGCACACCACCAGTTCCTCGGAAAAAGCCGCAGCCCGCAGGCCCTCGGAAGGGACATGGTCCTAGAAAGGCCTTACATCGGTGTGTCTTGTTTTTCCTTTTTTTTCCCGGGGAGCCCCCCTGATTCGTGAGGCGGTCCGGTTGGTTCTCCTCTGAAATCACCAATGGGTACCCTCAACAAGAGACACACCCATATTACGACATGTACTTAACCTTTTGAAAGTGGTATGTGACCGTCAGATACCGTCAGGTCGGCCTGATTTTTTTCGCTACCACCCGGCACTTCCGAACCTCTCGGTGCCACCAGGCGAGCGAACCCGCCGGCCTTGACCAGTCACACGTGCACACGCGTCGAACACAACGTGCGCTCTCCACTTTTTTAGGCCCTGGGCAGTAACAAAGCAGATGCCAAATAGCGCAAAGTATGTCAGGCGAGGATTCAAAAATATCAGGAGTCACCCGCCTAAAGCAAAAGAGGCGAATCCTCATAAGATTCTAAAGACACCAGGAGTCAAACACGGAAGCAAAACAGGTGTTCTTATAGGATTCGAGGGTCCCCTTGCCTTGATTACCCTCCTCCTCTAAATGAAGCCTTGTTAGGGTCTTACTTTGGGGAAAGCAGGGGCTAGGAAAGTGGGCGAGGGGCTTGGTATGGACCCTCTGATGCCCGTGCGTCGTCCACAAAGCAGCTGCCAAGACGCCGTCCTAGTGGTGGTCAGGGTGGAAGTCGAGGTGGTGGTAGCCTCAGTGATGCCAGTTGAGGACCCAGGGTGCCCAGTCCGTCTACTTTTCAGGGGCCAAGGCCTTGCCGAATCGCCAAGACTCTCAGAGGAAGCCAGGAAGATGACCATTGACAGTGGGCTCTTTTCACAGCATCGTTTTCGGCCCCAACGCAACTGAGTTGGTGGGCACCCAAACGGCATGACATGCTGCCTCAGTTGCAAACTGTGAGAATCGCAAATTGTTGCAGTTGCCCGATATGCAGTTCCAGGCAGATAGATTGATACCAATCGCGCATTCTTGCTTGACCTAACTAATCAACTCAGAAGTCGCGAATGCTCTCTGACAGATCGAGGATCCAGCTGGTGCAGCCCTTGAAAGTGGCAGCTTTCCCTTCATCGAATCAATTAAGCATGCCATGGGTTCAAATGAGGCCTCTTGCAACATGACTGTGAGGGAACCGGGCCAGGCTTCCCCTGCAAAAAGATGCAACAAGTCAACTAGCTGCTGGTTAAAAGGGGAAAATAGTGAAAAATAAAAGAGGCAAACCGCGGAACAGGGAAGCTCCGTCCACTGTTCACGTGCAGGTCTTGTTCTTCCCCCAGTTGGGGTGCCTGGCAACATTGTCCAGCTGTGTCTGGCCCAGCGAGTGGGTTCAAGGCAGTCCCCACAGAAGCGGTTGTTGGTCCTTCCTTCACTCCAGGACTGCTGATGCCCAATTGCTAAGGTCAAGTAAATGCAACCGAGGCCAAACCCACCTGTAGATGGATAAAATCCACTTCGCACCAGTTGAGTTGCATAAAATCCTATGCAATCCCGGCTAGCGTTTGCTTGTAAGTAAAGATTGCAGCACCTGGCTATTCTGGAACATACCAACATATCCAAATCAACTGGAAAGCCGTCCCCTTTGCTAACAGCCGCACAGACCCTGACAGCCATTTCCCTGTGGTAGCCATTGGAAATGGCATTTGACTTCGCTCACGCAGGGCACACCAAGAATACGCTAAAACATTTATGTTCCATAGGTGGTCAGCCGTAAAATGCAACATATGTTCTACGTAAATAGCATTTAGGTAAAATGGACCGTTGCGACCAGCGGAACAAGCAGCACAGCCTCGGGATTGTAACTCTTGTCCTCAGTTTCACGCAGTAAGCTTGGCTGTTTGCTGGGACCTTCAAGCCTCAGCTTTCCCAACAAAAAAAACATGTTTAAAAATTGCAAAGTGAGGTCATAAACAAAAAACCAGCGGCTAATCCTCAAACAGCTCCACTTTTTGCGCAGGCAACAGCCACCCAAACAAGCTCCAAAGGGTAGAGTTTTGGCATGTCCTAACCATTTGGGACCGGTTCCTTGCGTAACCCAAGGATCCTGCGGATGGCCTCTGAGCCCAGATTTCCCCAACCAAAAACAACCAGGTGCCACATATGTTTTGTGCTTTTTCCCGATCGGAGTGGTTCCTAGGTCCTTCAGTAGAGGCCTCTCGCCACTGCCTCAGGACCTGGCACACACCGGCGGCGTTCCCACGTAGGTCTCCTAGGTTCGAGCAAGCCGGCTTCGGGGGGTGGCTTCTCCGTTTTTATTCCGGGATCCGTCTTCTCCATTTACAGAAAACAACTAGAAACGAGACGGCAACGGCCTAAACTGAATGATTGGAAATGAGGACCCTGCCAGAATCTTCTGGGCCCAGTGGGCAATTTTGAGGGTTCTCAATATAACACTTGAGGGAGGGAAAACTTTAAACCACCAGAAAAAGGATGTGGTGTAGGATGATGTAGGATCACATTTAGGGTCCCGGGGCTAGCCAATCATGATACCTCTCAGTTAAACCCGCCCCCCCCCGAAACTCTGCGTTACCTTTCTCTCAGGGTCCTGCCAACCATGCGTGTGAGCTTGCTGCAGCCACTGTTTATGTTTCCACATCCTTCAAGCTGTCTTTTGACCGGGGACCCATGTTTTCAGCCACCTGTCAAACCCGCCCACGCCTCCAGCGGTGGGAAAGAAACCAGGGCCCCGCCAATTGAGTGAGTGGCCGCTTTTAAAGTCAACAAACTGAGGCTGACGCTGAGGCAAGCAGGTTCCACTCGCTGCCATTGGGCCCATCCCTTGTTGGGTCTCGTGACACGATCCAAACCCCTCTGCATTCAGCAGCCATTTTTTGTCTGCAAGCTGCTCTCGGGCTTCTTGTTGGAGAATGCCCCAAAAAGCGAAGAACAAGAGCCCTCAAAAACTGAAGCCATGTTTGATGCTTGGAAGGATGCGCCCCATGCGGTGAAAAGGGCTCCCTATACTTCTCACCACCAAGGGGAAAGCCACCTTATCGTGGCAATCGAAAGGTGAGGTTGAAGACTGACCAAACAGGGGAACGGCATGGAACAATGCTGATCAATCCGGGGCCAACCCTGAAACATTGCCGCAATAGCTCTTCATGATGATTTTGACAAACGCAATTTTGGCAACCCCTCCCACTGTTCTCCGGGACCTGCCTCGGGAAGGGTTTTTAGACTTAGAGAGGGCCGTAACTCGTGTCTCCCCTGCGTTCTTCTGCCCGAGGCGCTGCGATGGTGCAGTTGTACTGCTCCGGCACGCCAAACCACCCGAAGGCCGCGTCACACTGAACGAAGCACCTCGCTTTGTTTCGAAGTGCAACTGGCATCCGCAAAAGCACCGGGGCTGTTAAAGGCTTGGGGTCGCCTCCAGACCGAACATTTCCCAGCATCTCAGCATGGGGAATCAGAAGGGAGGGGAGTCGGGGACAGAGCGTGTCTTCCCAGGCCGGCAGGAGAAACAGAACCTACCCTTACCCGCATCATTGAAGCATGCACACCAATGTTGCCCAACCCTCGTAATCTATTAAGTCAAGGCACATAGCCTCAGACCCCAGTGCTAGAAATCTTCCAAGCACAGGAAACCACCGGCCCAGCGGAATAACACTTTGGAATTTGACTGAAAATAGATCCTACCAATACGCGAGAACCACAATGCTGCTAAAACTTCGCCATTCGCCCAGCCTCGCTTGCAACGCAGAAAGCCAGCATTTGCGCACGTGTCCCTATAATAAGCTTTGCTGGCCATGCTGTTCAGTCTCTGTGCGCTTGCCTATGAGCGAGGGAAATGCCATAGGTTTCCCGGAAATCGGACGGTCGTCAGGTTTCATCCGGACTCCGGCAACCTGAAACATCAACAAGAGGCTCGACTCATGCAGTAGCAGGGGCTAAAGGCAGGATAGGGAAATATCATTTTGTTTTACCTACCTGATTTCTTGTTTGGAGCGGCAGCAGCTGCAAAAAGGGCAGAAAAGGGCCAGTCACCAGCATTGTCCAGGTCGCAAGCATTTCATCTCTCCAACGAGTTCAGAGACCAAAGCTGGAATAGCTCTTATCAACACACATCACCTGAGCTCGGCGTAAGAAGTGTGAAGCCTACAAAATCCCGCTATCCATCTGACAGGCACCGCGCAGCACAGCAATTTCGGCAAATCTGCACTGCATTATCATGGGCATGACAATTCCGAGAAACCAGGGACACACTCCCGTTTCAAGGCCAATGCGAATGGAAAGCGGTTGGCCTTGTGGGAATGAAACCCCAAGGGGTCCACTGAACTGGGCTCAAATTAAGGCGATCACTTTCGCGTCGCAACAAACCCCAGTCAGCCTATCTCCCAAGCCACGTGTTGCAACACTCAGAACTTCAAGACCTGCATGACTTAAGGACACCCCCCCCCGCCGTCACACAAAGAGCCTCATTGTCGCAAACAATTCTTCAAGAAACCATGGCACTTATAATTTCAAATCCTGACTAAACAAAACTTGGACACAGTGCAACAGTCAATTGCAAAACTGAGCTCAGGAACTCCCCCATGAAACATACAAATAAGGAAAACAAGACACTAACAGACTCGAGTCAAGGTATCCGTGGACACGCGTGAGCAACAAACCTGTATGGGGCCCGGACTCACTCGGTTGAAGCCCCTTTTTCAGCCTCCCGAAACCTTCCGGTACCTGACTCACTTGCAAGGACGCAGAACAAAGGTGAACCTCGTAAGACCTTGACCCAACATCGTTGCAACACCGGATCAAAGTGGGCAACCCAGAGGGTTAAAGCCAAAAAACTTGCGACCCAAAGCACAACTGGATCAAAGTGCGCAAAAACCAGAGGTGGGGGCAAAGTGAGCTGAACATTTACAAATCTACATCGCAACGCATCGCCGAGCAGCGAGGACCCAGGGTTCTGAAAGATGCACGCCTGGAAGCTGGGGCTGGTTTTAAATGGAAAGCCGCCAATAAGAAGGAACCGCCAAAAGTGGCCTTTTGGTAAGATAGCCCTGGTAAATGGATTAAAGCCACTCCCACCAGTGGAACCCATCTATTTCTATCCAAACCAACCTAACAAGAACACCTATGGTTATGACCAGACGGTCTCAAACAGGAGGGGTTTCAAAGGAGCAACAAAAAAAAACAAAAAAACTCAGAAACAACTCAGCCAAACAACTCAACTGAAAACACAGACTCAAAACACACACACACACAGAAAACACAAAAAAACAACACAAGGGACGACTCAAAAAAGACAAAGAACAAACTCAGCCTTCAACTCAAGAAAAAACTCAAACACAACTCAGAAACAACTCAGCCTTGAACTTGATCCCCCCACTTGAGTTTGAGGCTGAATCTGGAGTCTTCCCAGGTTGGGAGTTTTGCTGATTTAGTTGTTCGGATTGAGTCTCGTTTGAGTCTTTTTTGAGTCTCCTTTGAGTTGTTTTCAAGTTGTTGTTTTGTGTTTTTGTGTTTTCTTGTGGTAAAACTGCAGGTTTCCTCCCCAACCAACCCCCTCAGGAAAAAAATAATACTCAGAACAAGCTCAGCTCCCGACTCAGCCTCAAACTCAAGTGGGGGGATCGAGTTCAAGGCTGAGTTGTTTCTGAGTTGTGTTTGTGTTTTTTTTGAGTCTTCCCAGATTCGGACTTATTCAGATTGAGTTTTTGGATTGAATTTGATTTGAGTTTTTTGTGTTTTGCGGCCTGTGTGGGCGAGATCGGGTGTTAAACCTATGGGACCTGTTTGTGTTTTTTTCTTCTTGTTGGGCTCGCCCCCACGGATCCCTCAAAGGGAACAACAATGGTCCAGTTAGGGGTCCTCAGTCCTGTAAACATCACCCCAAAACGAAGTCCAAATTACATTGGCCTCAAAAAA